TGTTATACCACCTTGGGTGTCATGTCCTTGCTCTTCCACACACACCTCAAGCTTTGGTTTTCATGAAGGCGAAACCATGACATGCTCCATCTGACCTTCTGAGGCAGAGGAACAGGAACTGTGGCAGCTGGCAATGCCCCAGCTCTGCTGCGCCTTTCCTCAGGACCCAGTGGGTTTTAGACAAGTGTCTGGGAAGCGCCGGGTGACAGATAGGATTCACTGGGCTGCATGAACACCTCCCAGCAGTGTCAAGTTTCATGCCAGACAGCCTGTGCTTGTTTGAGGCATGAGCCCTGAAACAGGTCAGCTGCCAGGAGTCAATTACCTGAGCTGAAGAGAAATCTCCTTCGGGTGGCTCAGTAAGTTTCAGCAGTGCTTTCCCTTCCCAGCTGGGCTCCTCTGCTGCGGAGAGGATCCCCTTCCAGCCATCCACCACCACTGTGTGCTCAGGCAGATGCCTTCACTGATGTATTTGGGTTCCTGTGCTTGGTCAGGGTGCTTTGGAGCAACTTCAAGCAGGCTGCAAGCTGAGGCATTGCACCAGGAGTGCAGCAGATGACAGAGCTGCTCCTGACACCACTTCCAGTGAGCAGCCCAATGGGCACACTCTGCCATAAGTAATCCTGTAGGAACCCTGCTGCACTCACCCTGGATCCACCTGGGGAATCCTGACAATTTCTTGGGATCAAAGCACAGCAATGAATCATAGAATCATAGAATACCAGACTGGAAGACCTCAAGGATCTTCTAGTCCAACCTTTCAAGACAAACATGACCTAGACCAGGTATCCCAGCATCTTGTCCAGGCGAATCTTAAAAGTGCCCAGTGTTGGGAATCCACCACTTCCCCGGGGCAGCACTGAGCTGAGTTGTATTCCAGCTCGGGTGACTGAGGGCAAATAAGCCAGGGGAGGGAAATGTCACTTGTTTCCATGAGTCCTCTGACCTTCACACACATGACCAGGATCTATCTGCATCCCTCTCTCCTCCCTGGGAGGGTCACTGGGACATGGAGAGGGATAGCCCCCTTCTGTAAAACTAAGGATTTTTATGTAGAAAGTACCCATATAACAATTTGTCACCTGATGTCTCATCATCCCTCTTTTCAGCTGCTTTTTAATAACGTTGCACAACATAGATGCTATTGAAGTCCCACTGGTGACACCCTGCTCCTGTGAGAACCAGACATACCATTCCTACCCTTCTGGCTACTGTCCCATAACTAGGTGTTTTTCTGCAGGAGTACCCGACCGTTTGTTCCCTGACTGTTTTAACTTCTCTAAGAGCCATTCACAAGAGTCCTGTCAAAAATCCTTAAAAATCCAGATACACCTGGGTTACCATTACCCACCTGTTTACTCCATCAGCAACTGCTGTCAGTTTTGTGAATCACAGCTGCTGTCAGGCTGGCGTTGATGCATTATGGTTGTGTTATGTCATATCATAGATTCTCTCTAGCTACCTAATGAAGACAGTCTTTGTAAATCTTGGAATACTCCCAGAGCATTTTCTCAAATAAGTTACTGATTTGCCCTATTCCCCTGGAATTTAGGCCACCACAGGCAATGGGCTGAACAAGGTGGCCATTTGGTATCTGAACTCCTCTACAACACATGGGTGATCCAGTCCTGGTGATCTGCTGTTACTAATTTTGCCAGGTTACTCTGTTCTCTCCTATGGATATTTAAGTTTGACAATTAATTCCTCAGGCTGATGTATTGCAAAAAAGACTGTGCTCTGGGCATTAATACAAGATTTAATTCTACTTTCTGCAAGACCTCTGCTTCCCCACAATTCTTCAGCAGGCTACCAGTCTGAGGAGTGAGTTTCATTTAGAACTGTACTTTCACCAAACCACAGGTTGGCTTTGGCTTGTCTTTGTTTAACTTGATAGAATTCACTTCCTCTACTGCTTTCCTCATTTAGGTATTCTTGTGCATTCTGATGTCATTTTTTTATTCCTAATAGTCTCCTTTGCTGTTTACTTCTACAGGTTATTTCACAGTTCAGGCAATGATGTGAAAACAGGATTTCTAAGACTCAGGCAAATGTTCTGATCATTCAGCTGTAGGTTATTCTCTTGTGGGATAATCTGACAGTAATTTGGAGCAGAAGCAGTATGGATGTGTCTGGGGAGGGTGTGGGCGTATGTGGTGGGAGTGATAACCCTCTTCTCTGCAAAATCAACTGCCCAGAATAATCTTTCATGTCACCTATGGGAACTTTTGGTTTATCAGCACAGATATCAACCTAACTTAAATGTTTCTTTCTATGGCTTAGTACCAGCTAGGAGTACGAGTTAACTACAGGGTTCAGTGAATGTCCGGAAGTTAAAAGACCCATGTAACACCTAGAATGTTTAAGCAACCTCTTTTGCACAGCATAATTAATTTCCTGTTTGAATCAAACTCTTCCTCACCTTGGCAGCATACAGACAAGCGTTTGAAAAGCACGAATTAGTGGTAAGGAAGGAAATTAAAACCTGCCACCTTGGATATGAACAAAGGATCAATAAAGAGCAACTCAGGATGGAGAAAGCTCTCCTCTCCCAGGAACACAAATCTGTGATGCAAACCCATTTTCATACAAAGGAAATTTTCTGACAGGAGCAGGCGCAATTAATCCAAATTCCATGCCAGTTCACTGTTTCCTCATTATGTTTCACTGTATATTAAGGCTGTGTGTGTAAAAGGTGCACTCTGAACCTCACATTAAGGAATAGCCCTGCTGCTGAAAGAGCCATAATTCATTTACTAATAGCTGTTGTCGCTGTGCTTCAATAATGTAATTGTTTTCGCTGTGTCCCAAGCATATGATTATTCCCATTGTGTAGGAAATTGAAGACCAAGGAATGTCAGATCAAATATAAAAGCCTAGTGCTTACCCATAGTTTTTATTCAATTAAGTAGCCATTACAGAGCTCATGCTATTTCAAATGACATAATGCAGAACACAAATGCAGTCCTTTATTACAGATATATGTTCATCTAAACAAAATGGCACCAACACAATCTAAACCCATTACAATTTTTAAAGTATTATGCCAAGGTAATTATTATATGGTGGGCAGTCTCTGTGAAAGGCAAGCAAGGAATCCATGGCCTCCGTAAACCACATTTGGAGCATAGCAGCAGTGTTATTTGAGGTTTATTTGTGAAATTGCTAAACGCACAGAAACAGGGCTGCTAAAATGTGCTCTTAGAGGGAAAGTGCTGAGCAGCAGCTTGGAGAATTCTGACTTTGCAGGTGATGTGTGGGTATGACATACATAGGACCGGGACTTGGCCCAGACACAGGTGCCTAAGGCAGGGTCTGGGCAGCATTTAGATATTTATCCCCAGACTAAAGTCTAAAGAGCCCTGCCCATTCCCACCCGTCTTGCTGTGCTTATTAAGCACCTCACAGGTCTCTGCACTGGCTTTCTGCATCACCCACAGGATCTGTAAGGTTTACTCTGCTCAACTTCTCTGAGGGCTCTTCCTAACTGGCAAATCCCCAGAGCTCCTATCACCACCATCGTGTTTTGGCTTCTCACTAAATTGCTGCCCAGCACCTGTGTAAGGCTGAGGGCCTTCCCTCTTGTAGTCCTTTTGTCCTCACAGCTCTATACCCCTTCAGTATTGCTATGGTGGGCTCTCATGGGAAGCAACCACCACCAGGGTGAGACTCTTCCTTACCTCTAATATTACCCTTGTTTGCAGCTTTCTGTTCTACACAAGGGCACTAACAATACACATGTCCTTTGCCCTGGTGATCAGAATACTTCTGTGGAAGGTGGGAGAGGAAGAAATGAATCCCTCTAAGCAAAGCTGGGAATTATACCTGCAACTCTCACAGCTGAGAGTCCCAGCTCCAGGCTGCCCAGTTAAAGGCAGGCAGGCTGTCCCTACTCAGCATGCCTGCATCTGTCAGCCTGGGGGTGAGGCTCGCTCACACTCCCTTCTTGGAGAACGCTTTTCTCCCTGATTTCCCTAGAGACAAAGATGCCTACTGAAACCCCTAAATCTTCTGATGAAGCCAAGAAGAAGATGAGATTTCTTTTTTATACATCTCTGTGTAGTGCGTGTCCCGCTTGCTCAATGTAAATAGTTTCTTTTTTAGAGTATAGCGTACTTGTTTAAACCTTCCTCATGCAGTATACATGCAGCCAATTCCTGATCAGGTCTGAAGCCAGGCAAGATCTTTACTTAGGTTTAGTCTGAAACGGGTCTGTTCCTGTTTTACAACAGGGAGAAAATAGAAATGCTTCCCAATATAAGAAAGACATTGTTGTGGATGCATTTTGTTAATTAGAAACTGGGCTAATACAGTGATAAAATGAGGGCTTATATAATGTGGAATCCAGAACAAATGGATACAGGGAGTCTGTTATGATTTACTCATCAAAAACTGAATAGAAGATGAAAAGAGAGAGATGGCATAGAAATAGCTATTGACTATGTATACAGTGAAAAGCTGCATCAGCATTCGGAGGGTCCATTTCTATTTTTACAAATTAAAAACAAAACAACAACAAAAAAAACAACAAAACCAAATAAACAAAAACAAAAACCACCCAACTTTCTTTGTGTCTGATTTCTGGTTTTCCATACCAGTCAATGTGGTCCAAGCTGGGTAATTCTGAATGTTACCATGCAAAGAAGGACAGGGACAATTTCCCCATGTAAGCCACTTTATTGGCATAATCACTAGACAAAAATAGACTGCTCAGTGCTTCCTACACCTCTTCCCCTCATGCCAGCTTCTCTCTGCAACTTTTTACTTTCAGCTCATTATGAGAAAGTAATTTCATTGTCACATTTGGCTGGCAGCTGGAGTTCTCCAAATGAGGTAAGCTGGGCTGAGACGCACACTCTCATCCCTCAGCAAAAACCTTGTAACATACGGTGTTGTTTATGTCTCCAAGCTTTAAGTGAAGAGGAAAACAGGCATCTGGGCTGGGCTCATTTGTAACGCTGTGGTTGCAGGATTAATATGAAAAGACAGATGAAGGCAGACACTTTAATTACTTCACCCTAACTTTTTATTACAACATCAAGTAAAGTGGTGAGTTACAGAGGATAATGGGCGTGAAACATCTGGGATGAAGTCACACACAAGTTTACGGTTTGTTATCTGCCAATGGGGGCTTAAATATTGATAATTTCTGTACATGCATCTTTGTGGTATTTCTGATTTTCTTGATAAATCATTTCAGATTACTTTGTTTTAAGCTGTGAGGTAGCTACTAAGACTGGGACCCAGCTTTTTTCTTCTGGAACTTTCTGAACTGGGACTGTATCGCCACAGCCGCACGCTCTGTCTCTGGCGCGTCCATGTCTATGTCAAATTCCTCTTGAACCTTCTTCTGCCCATCTGCTCAAAGAAAACGAAAGGAAACATCAGTTTTTTCAAACAGTGATTATCACTGGCCAGCACAGGTGAAAATCTCTGCCCCTCTCTCCTTCACAGACACAGCCATGATGATGTGGAACATATTCAGAACTTGAGACACAGCTGATCAAATCCCCCAACACACTCCCAATGGCAGAGTCTGTGACAGCCCACTGGTAACTAGGCACTGAGGAGCGACATTCAAACGGTGCTCGGCAGTCACTGAGCATCACCCTGATGTCTGAGTAGATCCTCTTGTGCCCAGGGAGCTAACAGAGTAACCCTCCTGTGGTATCCTGCAGGTGGAAGTTATTCATATCCTTCTATTTACTCTAAAAGGCATTTTAAAATAGGGATTAAGACCCTGTTCCTATCAATCCTCCTGCATTAGAGGAAGAGATAATACTTCCTAAGGCAAATATCCATCCTTTCACTTGTTTTCTGCCTCATTCCTTTCAACACATACCACTTCCCCTTTGAATCATTTACGTTCAATCTCTCCATCTCTGTGCTGCTTCCCTCATATCTCTCCAGGTTCTGTTGTAGCCCTTCATCCTCAGTCCTTGGCTTTTTGCCCTCCTTTATTAGCAGTCCTCGTCTTTTTATTCAACTGCATTCAGTCTCCACACTGTGACAACCCAGCTGACTTTGCTGAATTTATTTCACCCACCTTTGTGCTAAAAGTGCAGGCCTGGAAAAACTTCTGCTTCATTGCAAAGATAACCCTAATTTACCTGGACTAATAGTCAGAACACATATTTACTCCACTGACCTCGTCGTACCACTGAGTTTCTCTCCTCTAGAATCTTGACTGTTAAAGTCACTTATATAATTCTTGTAGAGAACACCATGCCAGGAGTCTGCTGACAGCTCTGCTTAAAACAGCTGTGGGCATTCACCCATTTTGAACCACTTTGCTTTTTATTCTTGAGATTACTACCTCTGGGATGTTCATCCCCAAGTACTGTTAATGTAAATCAAGGGAAATGCATTCAATGTATTTTAAAGTGCAAAGAAACTTTGTCCCCACTCACCCTTTCCTTTCCACTAGAAAACACAGATACTATTACATGAGCTTATAATGAATCTTGCAGTATTTATTGCCTTTACTTGTTCTTATTCAGAACTTGATTTTTGTGTCCATTTTCCATGAACAGAATCCATTTTAAACTGGGAAAATATTTAAAGGGAAGGTTTTGGCATATTTCATACTGATTTTATTTTAAATACAATAATGAAATAGATGCAGCTATGTTAACATAAATAAAAAGCTCACTGAATATTTTACTTAGAAGAATATTTAAGAAGAAAGATGAAAATGTAAGAAGAAAGAAAGTCTGGAGGGGAAGAACAGCATGGAAGCTTACTAGAACTTTGATTATGCAGTGTAAAGAAAAGGTAGGTTATCAAAGCAAAGATTTTATGGAAGAAAATGAATTGTACCAACATTACATCACACTTCCACAGCCATTAAGTTCTAGAATCTGCACAGTTTGTGTTAACTATTCAAGCAACACAACCACTTTAAGTACAGTAATAAAATTACTGCTTTATTTTTTATAGGGAAAGGGAGGTGAAGGTTGACAATTACTTCCTTATGCTCACAAGTTGTTGACACAGACAAGCAGAAAACTGAATTTCTGAATTTCTGAAAATCTCCCATTAAAGCCTTTGTTATCTACTGAAACTCTGAGTGGCTTGTTAAAGAAACCGAAATTTCTGTACCAGTTCCTAAATAATAGCTATAACACAAGTCTTTATGAAAATTTTCCTGTGGCCAGATACCATCTTCTCCACATTGCTGTGCACACAGCAAAGAAACTGAGATTTTTTTTCTCTAATCAAATTTCAAAAGGAATTATCATTTTCAAAATCACTTAGTACCATTTGGTTGGTACTTTGTGGGGCTGATTTTGATTTGGTATTTATGGGTTAAAGGGAACAAATAATTCTGTAAAAAAATAATTTTTTTCAGTCAGAAAATTCTATGTAAATATAGACTTTTGATTTGAAATATCTGAAGGAAAAAAAAAAAAATCAACAGCTTGATCAGCCAGCTTTAATAGCAACCACTTTGTGGTATCAGTAATGAGAAAATAAAACCTGTTTCCCTTGTCCATATGTCAGGATCTCTCCTTTATTAATAGGGTCCTATTAATTTATTCTAGAGAAGAGCATCACTTATGGAGAAACACCCTTATTTCTTATGGAGAAATATTTTATTAAAATATCTATATTAATAATAAGCATTTAATCAGCTTTGAAACTGATGAGGCAAATATCTTCTCATTGTTTGATGATTTTCATTTTTGTTGTAACATTCTAAATTTTAGGTTCCTCCCTACCCACTCACTAGACACAGCTGTCAGTCTTAACAGTAGAAAACTGCACATCCATACTAGCTTTTCAGTGTATAAGTTACTGTCCCTTGGAAATGTCAATAAGGAAAACCTGATGAATGAATGAGTAGACACAATTGGTTTCATACCTCCTGAAATCTGGCTTGTACAACTCATTTCCTATTGCAGCCAAGTCTTAGCAATATGTTAACTTGCAGTAGTGACTCAGCAATCTTACGTTAAGATTTTAGAGACTTAAGAAAACACAGTATTTAGCATAATTTTTCTCTAAAATTTCCAGGTCAATTAATCTTTGGTTGATTTGAATAATCATCACTGCCTTAAAATCAATTCTACTACAATAATTTACAGTATCTTAAGATCCGACTTCATTTTCAATGCTTTTTTTTTTTTTAATCAAAACTAAAATTCCTTATGAACTCTTTCTGTATCTCTCTTTTTCCCGTCACTAAGGAGAAATGATAGGATGAGAAGTTTTCAGCCATGACTCAGACTTGTAGATTAAGAAATCAGAAGTGCTCAGATAGGCCATAACATTTACATGGGCAATAAAGAAATTCATTATTGGCTTGTAGATGGTATACAAATATCTATATAATTACATATATATGCATAATGTGCATTATAAAACAATATGTATATCATCTATATATAATGTATATGACATACCTGTGTTTTCTTTCTCTTTTGATATACATGTACGAAATATCCAAATTGGAACATATAGAGAATATATAGAGAGAATATTTATAAATAAATATATAGAAATACACAGACATATTTGCTTAAAGATTTTAAGTAAGTACTGTGTTTAACTGCAAATACTTGGATGGGCTATTTCCTAAATTTTGGGAGTGGATTTTCTAAGAGTTCTCCCCAAAACATTTTCTATTGATGTCATAACACAAATACTTTAAAAGATGGATTGTCAATCTGGAGAAAGAATTAAGTTGTGTGCCTTCTTTGGCTTTGTCTGTGCAAAGGGATAAAGACTTCAGCTTTTACCTTGAGTTGCTTTACTAAAAATAGCCTAATGATCTAAAATAGATTACAGCCTGCTGACTACACTGTTTTGTTTCACTGGTTAGTTAGAATGAAGAGCACAAGTTCCTATCCCCCGTGGAAGGGGTGTTGGAACTAAGTGATCTTTAATGTCCCTTTCAAACCAATCCATTCTATGATTCTATAATTCTATAAACTAAGAATTGACCCAGTTAATTACAGTGAAAACCCAACCAATGTTCAGGACGTGCACAGACTAGATACGATCTCACTACACTGACATTGAAAGTCTTTTGCACCCTTCCTATTTTATATTCACCTGTGCCACACAAGCTTTTACCTGTCAGTAGTCGTTTGTATATCTCAAACATGCAGGCTTCAAGTTTGAATGCTCAAACAATGGAAGTTACACAGAGGACTGAAAGCAAACCCATAGAAATGTCCTTCTTTCATTCACTCTCTCATTTCCAGCTCTCTTTTTGCAAGGGATCACTAGCTTGGAAGCAATCGGAAAACCCAGGAAATTTTCACTCAGCAGGCCAGAGCATAGACAAACACTCACACAGGCCTTACTCTTGGACTTGCTATTTTTCATTCCTACTGATAGAGGCCAACCATTATGTCTGATAATAAGCTACCTTCTTCTAAGCTACCTTTATATAGCAATAAAAGTAGATCTGGATTCTTTCCCCATGCTCAGCCACACACACACGCTTTTGTTGGTATGTGTGCTTTCTAATGTGCAGACTTCTTCCATATGAGTATCTCAGGATCCCTTGAGTACCACAGGCCTGCATGAGGAAACTAGTAGGAAGAAGAATGTTGGCAGTAAACTTCAATTCATAAGCTACTTGTGATATAGAGGATTCAAAAATCAAAAAGGGTTGATAAGCACTGGCCTCTACTCTCCACTTTCTGTGAGGATTTGGTTTCATTAGCACCATAAAATATAAACCCCTTAACCTTTTTCACTACACTTAGCTGTTTCAAGGCTTTCCCTGAAAGATTCCTTCATACTTAATCCAAATTCCCTCTCTTATAAAGTGACTCCCACTCTTCCAAACATGCCATGAGAAGCCAGGGGATTCAACACCTGTCCTTGCTGGGTTCTGACCACCACTAGCAGGAGAGGTGACTAGAACAATTCAACACCAACAGTCATGGGCTGGCCACAAGAAGTCTTAAGACCTGATTAGTTTACAGGCTGACCAGGAGGGTGATGGAGTCTCCCTTTTTGGAGATACTCAGAACCCTCCTGCACACATTCCTGTGTAACCTGCTCTAGGTGGCCCTGCCTTGGCAGGGGGGTTGGACCAGATGATCTCCAGAGGTCCCTTCCAACCCTATAACGATTCTGTCTTTCTGTGTTTTTCAAAATCACGTGTTTAATGTGGACTGACCCTGGTCACGTGTCAATTCAGGCAAATCTGAGTTGTGGTGGAACAAACTCCTTGGACCACAATATCAACTGCTTGATGAGTCCCACCACCATAAGGAGCACCCCATGACCCAGCACCAGTCTTGATGCTACAGACTACTTTGCAGGACTAAAGGCTGAGACAGCTTGCAGGTTGCAGATTTTACTTCAGTATATGCAATAGCCTTCCTAGCAGGAGAGCC